AGTTCTTCCCTCCATTTAAGACAGTCTATTTTATCCAGTAATCTACCTGACCTTTCCACCACCTGGATCTCTGTTCTTCTGTGTTTACCTTTTTTCACATTGTAATTGTTTTGATTATAGACTGACCTCCCAGATCCTCTGTTCTTATGATTTTATTCTGTTCTTTACTCTTCCGTTTGTCGACTGAGTTCAGGTTGATGTTGCCATGTACGACGTCATTCTGTAGTTGTTGTGTACCTTCCCTTTCAACTTGTTCCCATTGTTTATACTTCCAGATCTAGACTACATGGCAAACAGTCCATGATTGTGTATAGTTATATTGGAGACTAGTGGAATGTGAATAAAATCTGTGTTTGTTTTTTTTTAAAATATTTATTACACAAGTATATGATTTCTTATCTTTTTGGATCATTTTTCTGTGTCTGGAGCAGATTCATTTTTTTTTTAAAATATTTATTACACAAGTATATGATTTCTTATCTTTTTGGATCATTTTTCTGTGTCTGGAGCAGATTCATTTCAATATCGATTCTACCATTTTTAGTAGATCACAGAATTATTATTATTTTTTATTTAAAAACGTAAGTAATCTCGTGTATGCTTTTAAAATTACAGTGGGGAGTATAAAAATCAAATCTAATATGATCATAGCAAAGTTTTCTGGGGTGATCCTTGTACTGAACTGTTTTGATCTCTGTTAATCCTCCCATATATTTGGTTCAGAAAACATAGTTGCTATATAACTAGAGCTGGTCTCGAAGAAAGGTAGCAAGTTGAAGGATGCAAATAGAGCTGTAAGGAAGCCCAGTCCAATGAGTGAGAGAGTTGCTGTGGTGCACATTTGGATTGAATGATCTGCTCTCAAGATTTATATTAAAATTGCATTGTTTTCTCTCTGATACAGTTTTCAACTTGACCAACAATGTTGATTTGGACAACACCAAAAAGAAAATGGAGATCTACCAAAAGGAGAACAAAGATGTTATTCAGAAAAATAAGCTAAAGCTGGTTGGTTACTAAGTATTTTTTTCTTTTTTTGTATTAGAAACAAATGCTTTCACATGGTACTTTAAAATTCCCTCTCCTTTAAAACTGGCAGCACTTACAAAGAATTGAGTTGACATTTAGTCCAGAAATACTAACATATGTATATTATTGTTAAGTACAGTCTAGTCAGTCCTGACTCATAGCCACCCTGTGTAGGGTTTCTGAGCTGTAAATCTTTACTGGAGCAGAAAGCTACATTTTTCTCCCATGGAGCAGATGATGGGCTCAAACTGCCGACAATGTGACTAGCCGTCCAGTGTTTATCCTACAGAGCTATCACACTCCTAATATATATGTAATAAGTGTATAAATAGATAGGTGCATAATACTGTAGTAAAACCAACTTTGTTGGCATTAGTATTAGACTGTGCTTTCTTAGGGAAATGGAGCCTTATGGTGGTATGTAATGCCAGCTCGGCCTATTTGTATAGTGCGGTGTTGTAGGAGAAGCGCTGGACTGCAAGGTTGGTTTGAACCACAACCCTATATAGAGAAGCCCTATATAGGGTCACTATGAGTCGGAACTGACGCAACAGCACTTAATAACAACAATAATTATCTGGTAGGTGTTCATTTGAAGTGTCACAAAATAATGGAGGTTCATTTTAATCATTGCACATTAATTTCTATTTTATTGAGAAGAGGGCAATCCCCACACAGATATTTATGAAACTCCCAATTGGAAGATAAATAAACACACTAATAGAAATTAAAATGAATTCATGACTATCATATTTTAATGCAAATTATGCATGCACTATGTTGTTTTTTTTTTTTTTTGCAAACTTCACAATCCCCTCACATTAGTTTTATGTGTGTTATAAAATGGAGTCCTGGTGTGGCACTGTTGAATGAGCACTGGACTGCAAGGTTGATTTGAGCTGAAAGGTGGTGGTTCAAACCCACCAGCTGTACCTCGGAAACTCATACAGGGTCTGTATGAGTTGGAACTGATGTGACAGTACTTAACAACAACAACATATGTATAGATGTGTTCTTTGCAAAAGTACTGTAAATCAGAGGAACAAATTTGTAACTAAGCTCAGCTCTTGTTTTTTTCTTAGTTACTTTTTTGTTTTACTGAAATAGTAGCAAATATATCAAAAAATGATTTGGGTTTTGTTTCAGTTGACCTAATATTGAAATTTGTTTTGATGTATTTTAGGATTTAAATTCATGATAATATATATATGATAAAAATTGTATTCAGTAAAGGAAAAACAATTGTTTGCATGCAGAGATTTAATTGTTTTACTTATACAATTTAATTCTTATTTCTTTACTATAACTTAACTTTCTAGTTTTGGAGATTAAACAGAAAGAGTTACCTTTAAAGTACTTTGTCAGGAATTTATAATCATCTGTAAAAATGATATTTGGATCACAGAGCTAGTATTCTCATCTTGTTTCTAGAAGAAACTTTTTCCTTTCAATGTTTAATTTAGGCACTCTTTCCTGCCGTAAACCTCTCAACGAATTGACACTACATTCTCATTCCATTCATAACTAGCCTAGCTTCTTTAAAAAGCTTATCTCATTTCTTAGAGTATCAGTATGCCATAAATATCACTCTCCTTGCCCTTCTCTGGATGCATGCCAACCAGAAATGCTCAGGTAACTTGTTGCATTAACCCTATTTAACTTAATAATGGAAGGTTGTTCTTTTTAAATGGCAGCTTTGTTCATCTGTAGTTTTTAGCCAGGAAATAGTACTGAGAGTTGCAAGGAAACAACAATCGAATTCTAGACTGGTTGTATTATTTTAAACCAGGAACTGGTAATTATCTTTGAACTTTACAACGACCAGTTATTAAATAAAGTATCTTATTTTATACATTAAGTCATTAACATTTATGAGCTGATGATTGTGTGCATAACTGGCAGAGCATTATGCCAGTTAGTGATACACATCTGGGAGATTAGTATTGACTTCAACATATAGGACCACATTTTTAAAGATGGTGCTAGTTAGCATATATTAATAGCTGTGGTATCATTGGCTAGAGCCCTCAAGTGGCCCACGAAGCAGGGGCTAATTTTCATAGCTGATGTCTTTTTACTAACTTGAGGTAACAACTTGACTATTCTTTGTAAATTTTGATGTATCACTGTTCAAAAAAATAATAGAATCATATCAAAGAAGAAAAGGATAACACAATCTATTACATGATTAAAAACCAATGTCACCGAGTCCATTCCAACTTATAGCAACCCTACGCAGGGTTTCTGAGAGTGTAAATCTGTGGGGGAGCAAATAGACAGGCTCATCTTTCTTGTGTGGTGGGTTTGAATCCCCAACCTTTGCAATTAACAATCCCAATGCCTAACTCACCCTACCACGATTAGACACAAAAATGACCCATTTCTGACACAGAACTATTACTTGGTAAAAGAGACTTTTGATTTGAGTTGCCTGCCAAGAAGATGGAATTGACACCGACCATCAGTCAGTGTCAACATTGATAAATTCATAAAGGTAATCTAATCTAGTCTAGTGAAGATTGTTATTTATACTTTTAGTTTCTGCATTCTCATGGGCAGTAGAGATTTCTAGGTTGAATGTTTAACAATTCAGGAAACAAAAATTCAAAGTAATAAACATTTTTTAAACATGTGGCAAGCATATAGGTGTATGTAGATGAGAAAGTGCCCTGGCCCTCTAGGGACCATATAATTTCAATAATATGTGGGAAGAGCTATGTTTCTGTAATAGGAGGTGGTGGTAGTGGTGTGCCATCGAATCAGTTCCAACTTGCCATGACCCTGTGTAGGGTTTCCGAGGCTGTAAATTTTTATGGAAGCAGAAAGCCTCAGTCTCCCAACGAGTGTGTGGTGGATTTTAATTGCTGACTTTGCACTTTCCATCAGGCTACCAGGACTCCTACGATCACAGAAGAGGTTTGTCTCATTCAGTCTGGATAGATGAGGAAAGGCATTCCATGGGGAATGATGCCTGAATATAGCCTTGAAGGACAAATAGAAGTTCGTTGCTGTTGTTCAGTGCCATCGAGTCGTTTTTGACTTATAATGGCTCTGGCGCTTCCAAGGAGTGGCTAGTGGGTAGAAGTTAGCTGCGTGAAAAAGATAGGTTTGGAATGAAGGTGGGGCTGCCACAAGGACATTTCAGGCAGAGCAAATGCAAGAAAACATGGGTTCTATGAAGAAAAACGTGGCATCAGGATTGGAGGAAGACTCATTAACAACCTGTGATATGCAGATGATACAACCTTGCTTGCTGAAAGTGAAGAGGACTTAAAACATTTACTGATGAAGATCAAAGAGCACAGCCTTCGGTATGGATTGATTCTCAATGTCAAAACAAAAATCCTCACCACTGGACCAATAAACAACATTCTTTTATTAAGGGAGAAAAGATTGAAGTTGTCAAGGACTTCATTCTTCTTGGATCAACTATCAACACTCATGGAAGCAGCAGTCAAGAGATCAGATGATGTATTGCATTAGGCAAATCTGTTGCACAGGAACTTTTTAAAGTGTTGAAGAGCAAAGATGTCAGTTTGAGGACTAAGGTGCGCCTGACTCAAGCCATGGTATTTTCAGTAACCTCATATGCATGCAAAAGCTGGACAGTGAATAAGGCAGACCGTAGAAGAATTGATGCCTTTGAGTTATGGTATTGGAGGAGAGTACTAAAAGTGCCATGGGCTGCCAAAAGAACCAATAGATCTGTTTTGGAAGAAGTGCAGTCAGAGTGCTCCTTAGAGGCCAAGATGGCTAAGCTTCGTCTCTCATCCTTTGGACATATTGTCAGAAGGGAGCAGTCGCTGGAGAAGGATATCATGTTTGGTAAGATGGAGGGTCAGAGAAAAAGAGGAAGACCCCCAATGAGATGGATTGGCCAAGTGGCAGCATCGATGGACTCAAGTGTGACAACAGTACTGATTGGACATTGTTTTGTTCTGCTGTGCATAAGGTTGCTATGAGTCGGTGCCAACTCGATGGCACCTAACAACAAGAAGTATTTCTATGTTGCTGAAATATAAGGAGATAGAGTTGAAGTTGAAGAAGCAGAAAGCTCTACATCATATAAGACCTATGTAATATGAAGAGTAGAGTTCAGGTGTGACATTGTAGAATAAGCACTCTACTGCTAGGTCAGCACTATGTTGGCAGTTCAAACCCACCAGCTGCTCCTCAGAAACCCCATTACAGGGTTGCTATGAATCAGAACCAACTTGGCAGCCCTTCACAACAGGTATGAAAAGTAGTTTGGATGTATATAGACCAGTTTGTTCTTAGGTTTTAGTAGATAAACTCTTTAGATAAAACCTTACTCAGAATAATTTGGTTAAAGTGATGATGAGGGGCCGAGAGCGATAGGGAAATCAGCCTAGTTTCTTCTTCAGTGCAAATGAAGGCATCATATTAGGAAATTCCCAAGGTTCCGTCCATCAACATTATAAAAATTCTGTTGTTGATGATTGCTACTGGAAGGTTTCAAGCAAGGGAGTAATAAGGTATTGTTCTTATTAGGCCAGAATTAATGGCTTCGTGGAGGTTGAATTTGAGAGGAGCAAGTCTGGAGTCAGGGAATCCTGCTGGTACAACAGTTAAGCTAAGCACTTGGCTACCAACCAGAAGGCTGGTGGTTCAACCCCCCCCCAGTGACTTTGTGGGAGAAAGGCCTGGCCATTTGTTCTCATAAGGAACGTAGCCTGGAACACCCTGTCCAGTTGTTCTCCTCTCACATGGAGTCACTGAGTTGACAATGGACTTGGAAGCACCTAACAGTTATAACAAGCCTGCAGGCAGGGAGAATGATGGGAGGTGGCTTAATCCATGGAGGTATGTTAGAGGTGACTTAAAAAGAAATGGAGGATCATTGCAATGAAACAAAATACGATAGGAAGAATGTAAAGCTAATGTTTCCCCATGTAAATTATCACATAATTAATAATAAAAACAACAACAACAACAAAAAGAAATGGAGGACTAGAGATGCCTTAGAATATTATTTTTAAATTAAAAATCTCAAGTTCTACTGATGAATTAGAAGTGGGAAGAGAAGGAAAGGGAGCATGACTAGGTTGTTGTTGTGGTTAGCAATCTAGTGCTTACACTGCTTTCTAGAGTGCCACACCAGGACAGGTACTATTATTAAGATGAATGCAGAGACGTTTTACTCTTGAAACCTCTCTGTCTAATGTATTCTTCATGGTCCCCCCAGTGTTTGATATCTAAGTATGGCAAATTTTCTAGTTATTCACTCAACTACCTATTTGTCTAACGTGTATTGAGGCATTGTTGCTATAGGCTGTCAAACTGGCTTACTGAGGCCTACTATGTTCCAAATGGAGACCTGGTGTAGTGCTGTTGGATCAGCACTGGACTGCTAGCTGTAGGTGGGCAGTTCAAACCTACCATCTGCTCCTTGGAAACCCTATACAGGGTTGCTATCAGTCAGAACGGACTTGATGGCACTTAACACCATCTACAAAATACTCAGGCTCTATTTCAGTGAGAAAATTGAGGTGATCCAATTTCCTAAAGGAGCTCTGGTAGCATAGTAGTTACTAATCAGGCTGCTAATCTCAAGGTCGGCAGTTCAAAACTACCAGCTGTTCCATGGGAGTAAAATGAGGCTGTTAGCTCCTGTAAAGATTTATAATCTCAGAAACCCTGTACAGGGTCACTATGAGTCAGAACCAACTCCATGCATGTAACCACCACTACCAATTTTTTAACTTTCTCAACTTTGTGCCTATAAATTTATTTTTATTTCTACTTACCCTCTACCTTTTCCCTTGATCTCTGGAATCTTATTCATTTATTTACTCCCTTTTTCTATATTTCTAGGAGTCCTGGTGTGGTGCTATAGAATAAGCACTAGATTACAAGGTCAATTTGAACTGCAAAGTGGTGGTTCAAACCCACCACCTGCTCCTTGGAAACCCTATACAGGGTCACTATGAGTCAGAATTGACTCAATGACAATAACAAGTGTATTTCTAACCTGTGTCAACTAGTATTTTTCTTTGGAGGCACAAGCAAGCAAACAAACTGTCTGTATACATGTCTCCCTCCCTTCCCCACCACAAAAAATTTTCTCTCACAATATTTTATTAATACTAATAAAATGGCCTAATTCTGCTTCCCTTGCAAGCAAATTTTCTTAAAGAAATCTGACTACAAATGCTGTTTCTACCTCTCATCTTCTATTTTACTTGCTGCCTAACCACTATCAGGCGTTTGCCCCATCACACCCTGGGAACTGTTGTGCTGATTGTGGTTGATGATGTTCTCATTGCCAAAGACAGTGGACTCTTAACTTCCGAGCAGTGTTTGGTACATAACTCCTCATGCAATTGAAGCCCTGGTCCTAACTTCAGTGGCACTGCTCTAGCCTCCTCTTCGCATTACCCCTGTGAGGCTCTTCTTTTCTGCCTATCTTTTGAATGTAGGTTCCTTTTAAGTTTTTCTCATTATGAGTTACCCCTTTACACTGATTGCTTTCAAATGTTTCTGTAGTTCATTGGTTTTCAGTTGAGCTCTGAGAATTGTATTATTTAATATACCTATAAATGATCTACAACAAATTTCTTTCTGGATGTGTTATTATACAATTGCCTGCAATTCGGAGTCCTGGCATGATGCTGTAGGATGAGCATTGGGCCGCAAGGTCAGTTTGAACTGCAAGGTCAGAGGTTCAAACCTGCCAGCTACTCCTCAGAAACCCTATACAGGCTTGCTGTGAGTCAGAACTGACTTGACAGCATGTAAAAACAACAACCTGTGATTCAGTATGTCCCAAACAGAACTTTTTTTTTTTAACTGTCCCACTGGTTTTTCTTGTTAAGTTCCTTATTTTAGTGAATGGTACCAGTCCTCCTTCATCCACCTGTTCAAGCCATTTCTGGTCAGGCTTCATTTTTTGTTGACAATCTCTCATCATTTTTTCCAACCTGGTTTCTCTTTTAATTCTACTATTAGTACCTTTACTTAGGGCCCTTATCATTGCTTTTCTGCATTATTGAAGTATTCATCTGGTCTTCCTGTCAAGTCTCGAGCCCCATGAGTTCTATACAGTTTCCTTCATCTTTCCAAATGTACCCTACAAATTCTCTTAATTCTCTCCAGTTGCCTTAATGTGGCACAATAGACCCTCCATGATCTGCCCTCTGCTTATCTCGCTGTCTTTATATAGAGTTCTTTCCCATCCCCATATTTCATGACTTGGCTTAAACCAATCCTAACAACTTGTTTCATGTCTTTGTGTCTTTATTCTCTCTGCCTAAATGTCTGGCCCACTGTCCCATGGAAGTAAGTACCTACTGCTTGAAATTCTTAGCTCAGCCTCTGCATGAAACGTTTTCTGAGCTTATTTATTTTCCATTATTCCAAGGAGAATATATTTCTCTCTCAGTTGTGACCCCAGTGCCCTGTGTATGCATACCTCTGTAACGCTTGCAATACATAATTGTTTCTGCATGGCACTGTTTTATTGTCAGGTGCATCCTTTTCTATTGCTGGGGCTTTAATCAAGTGGATCACTTTTCCAGCCTTTATAGCTCAGCTCTAAGCTTATGTCTTTATTCTTACTAAAATCCCTCTGGATCCAGATGAAATTCCTTTTTGACTGGGTGCTGAGCTCGAGTAGTGGCCCCAGTAAGAGAGGAGGGGGAGTTTGTAAGATGATTGGGAGAGATGCTGATGGTACTGAGCAACTGCTCCAGTTTAAGGGGAGTGAAGGTAGAGGGAGCAAACAAAGATGATGGAGGGTACAACTTGACTTGACGGACTGACAGGTCTGCACTTAGCAGAGATTAGGACTAAGAAGTAAATTAGCTTTGTAAAACTTCATTTTGGACAGATTGAGCTTAAAGTATAAGTGAAATATCTTTTCTGTATGGGTACTTATTTTGGGGAGCTTATTTAATAATTTGTAAATAGAAAATCTAATGTTGTTGGTGGTGTTAAGTGCCACCAAGTCGGTTCTAACTCAGGAACCCTGTGTAGGGTGTCCGAGGAATGACTGGTGAGCATGAACTACCAACCTTGTGGTTCAAACCGACCTTGCAGTCCAGTGTCTTAACCCGCAACACCACACCAGGACTCCTAAAAGAATCTAATAGAGGGTCTTAAATATTATTTCACATTTAAAAATACACTTTTTTTCTGAAGCCTGTACTAATTCATATTATGTAGTGATACCCAAATTTGTTCTCTCCCCATTCTATATTTGCCTTGAGGTGCTGTAAATTTTTTAATGATTTGTTGAATATTTTTAAAAAGTTGCTATAATATTTTTAAGACAAAGAGAGAAGCCTTTAAAATAAAACTATTCAGATTTTACTGTAGTTCTCATTTATATATAAGACTTAAACTGCAAAGATTGGGTATTAATATTACTTTTAAGTATAGGTTAGAGTTGGGATAAGTTTCAGGGCCTGGAAATATTTAATATTGCCAATGAACCTCATAAAAAGAAACCTAGTAAATCTGTATTTATTCTATCTATATGTTAACTTTCAGTTTTGAATTATTTCAGTTAATTAAGAGGACTCTTGAAAGTTATACACTTATGTTAGAAAAATAAAACTTAAAGCTTTTTAGAACTTAGCTTAAATGATTGATATTTGGCATGGTAGTTTTATGAACACTTATTTTAGCCTGGAAAAAAGAAGCTTGAGTGCATACTGTGATGATTTTTAATTATCTAATATGCTCTGGAAGGAGCTCTGGTAGCATAGTGGTTATGAATCGGGCTGCTAACCTTAGGGTCAGCAGTTCGAAACTACCAACTGTTCTGTGGGAGAAAGATGAGGCTTTCTGCTCCCGTAAAGATTTACAGCCTCGGAAAACCTGTATATGGTCGCTATGAGTCAGAACTGACTCCACAGCACATTAACAACAACAATAAGTTCTGGAAATCCTTTCTATTAAAGCCAGTCTATTATATGGAGTTTTCAGTCAATGGTTCTGTACGGAGATTGTCTGTGTTTTTTGTCTTTGTTTTTTTTCGCTCTGTTAAAACACTTAAATGAATTACTTGAAATAATCTATGGTGACGGTGGTGTGCCGAGGAGTCGGTTCCAACTCATAGGGACCCTGCATAGGGTTTCTGAGGCTGTAATCTTTACCGGAGCAGAAATCTTCATCTTTCTCCCGAGGAACTGCTGGTAGTGTCGAACTGCTGATGGTGAGGTTAGCGGCCTGACTCGTAACCATTATGCTACCGGAGCTCCTTGAAATAGTCTATGGTAATTATAAATAAATAAGTAAGTCCATTATTAAGCACAGTCTTTACAGTTTTGCCGCTGGTTCTAGTGTTTAGTACTAAGTGTTCTTCTCTTTAATGGTAACCCTTTTCACATGAAATAAAATGAAATCTTGTTCCTTCAAAGTATAATTGCTGTACTATTAAGCAATAAGTGGTTAGTGTATTTTATTCTTCCAAAAAAGAGTTTGCTCTCATTTACTTAATGTAACCCATGTCACATATAAATGTTTTTGTTTTAGACTCGGGAACAGGCAGAATTGGAAGAAGCTTTAGAGGTAGAACGACAGGAAAATGAACAAAGAAGACTGTTTATACAAAAAGAAGAACAATTGCAGCAGATTCTAAAGCGGAAGAATAAGCAGACGTTCTTAGATGAACTGGTACGTAGTAATGCTAATTTAGATAAACACAGCAGACAAACATTGCTGGTTTCCAGGGTTCACTTCTATAGGTTCATACTGGGCTTTCTCCAGTGTGCTTGCCCTGGTTCACCTTTGACTTTGGTATTGTTTTGGCTGTTTTGTGTTGACTAAAAAGCTACTCTCCCTTCCCCCAAACAACAGCCATTCTTTTATTTATATGAACAAGTCTGTGAAATCAGAGTGGGCCTCTCTTTGTGCTGATTCTAATGCTCCTCGTGGCATCAGCTGGAAGGACCTAATGGTTTTGAGCTGGTGGCAAAGTTGGAGGTTTCGGGAAAGTGTCATTCAGGTCTTTGGCATCTGGGGAGTGACTGGAAGGCTGGGTTCGTTAGGCCGTTTTCGTATACTCAGGCAACCTCTCCAGGTGGTGTCTATAGCAGTGCAGTTGATACTTCTTCCAGGGTTTTCAGGGCGATAAGAAAGAGTATTCCAAGGGAAAAGAAGCGGAGACTCGAACCTGGAAATTGGTGCAGCATCATTTCCACAATATGCTATTGGCAAAGCCCACTCAGTTTCCAGGGGAAGGGATATAAAAGTTTGTGGAAAAATGGAATGAAAAGATAATGAAAAAATTTCCACAACTTTTTGAAGAACCTTTTCAGATCTCATTTCTTGATGGGAAGATTGTTAGAGAATTTGTGACTATTAATGACCCATATGAGATTTACTTGGAAACAATGGCATTTATTCAGAATTTGGCATATAGAAGTACATTGGATACTCAGTCTCTAACCCAAAGTGACTTTGTTGCCCCTGACCCAATTCTGACTCATTGAGAACCCCGTGTGCTGGAGAACAGAGCCACTGCATAGAGTCCTGGCACAGTGCTGTGGGATAAAGCACTGGACCCCAAGGTTGGTTTGAACCACAAGGTCGGGGGTTCAAACTCACCAGTTGCTCCTTGGAAACCGTATACAGGGTTGCTGTGAGTTGGAACTGACTCGATGGCATTTAACAACAACAACAACATACAGTTTTGTTGCTTTAGTAGTATGGAAGCAGATTGGCAGGTCTTTTCTGTGATACCACAAAAACCACTGGGTGAGTTGAAACAGGCAAAGTTGAGTTGAGTTGAGGTGAGTACAAACCGTTTGTGCCACCTACAGACCTTAAAGTGAGTTTGTTGTTGTCAGGCTGTGTTGAGTCAGTTCTGATTCACAGTGAGCGTATGCACAACAGATTGGAGCATTGTCTGGTCCTGCGCCATCCTAAGCATCTTTACGTTTGAATCCATTGTTGCAGCCACTGTGTCAACCCATCTCGTTGAAGGGCTTCCTGACCTTCTACTTTACCATGGATAATGTCCTTTTTCAGGGATTGGCCCCTCCTGCTAACATGACCATAGTACATGAGATGAAATCTCACCATCCTCCCTTCTAAGGGGCATTTTGGCTGTACTTCTCCAAACAGAAATTTCCTTGTTCTGACTCTCTATGGTAAATTTAATATTTTTATGCCAACACCATATTTCAGTTGTTCTTTACTCAATTTCAAGTGTTCTGATTCCATATTGAAGTTTATAATGAATCTGAGTACTCTATAGGACAGCTGAGCTGGCACTTTAGTATCAGCACTGGATGCAAACCATAGGGTCGGCGGTTCAAACCCACCAGCTGCTCCTTGGAAACCTTGTACAGGGTGATTGTTATGAGTCAGAATCAACTCTACAGCACTTAGCAACAACAACAGCAATTAGAACTATGTTTTGCATGAAAATTTAGTATGTTTGAAAGAAATAAATTATTTCACCACTCGTCTGTCAGTGTGTCATGCTGTGGTGGCTTGTGTTTTGCTGTGATTCTGGAATCTATGCCACGGTTATTTTGAATGTCAGCAAGGTCACCCACAGTGGAAAGGTTTCAGATGAACTTTCAGATGAAGACAGACAAGGAAGAAAGAGTGATGTACTGCTTCTGAATATTTAGTCACTAAAAACCTTATGAATAGCAGTAGAATACTGTCGGCACCAGATTATTAAATATTACATTGTGATGAAGAACGCCAGAATATTGTTAGATATAGTGCTGGAAGATGGAACCCTCTCAGGTTGGAAGGCACTCAAAATGAGACTGGGGAA